CCCCCCCACCCCAGAAGCCATCACAATGCCTGCAGCTCTGTCTCCAGGGGTTAGCTCGTCCCCGGAGAGCTTCCAGTCTGTGCTCTCTGACGCGTGGCCTCTCCCACTAGGACCCGGACTTGCTTTACAGCAGAGGGGAGAGCGAGACGGGAGAAGGGATGGGAAGCGAGAGAACAGTACACAGAAATCCATCTGTTCTGGGTTGGATGGCTCATTTTTTTTAGCCTGGAGAGAGCAGCTTTGAATCTAATTTGTGCCTCATGCCAACTGTGTCCCAGAGTCCCTTGTGGGGGCAGAAAACAAACACAAATGGCCGACGAGCTTTTACGGTGGGCCGGGTCGGGGCTTAACTGACCTGTACTCGGGATGGGCCTCGTTTGGCTCTCGAATGGTCAACGATGGATGCTTAACAGGAGGACAATGGCCACAGTCAATTTGAATGGTTCTCTCCTCTCTCTTCTTCCCCTTACTTGGCTGAAAATGACCGGCACAAGTGTGACGAGCTGGTGTGCGTGTAGCGGTTTTTTTTTGAGGGCAACCGGCATTTCTCCGCCAACAGACACGAAAACCAGTGGGATTTGCGTCTTAGCCCTCTAATAAAACCCCTCAAAGCTGCTTGAATAAAAGGGGCCAAGCAGCACATTGCTGAGCCTCTGTGCCCGTCTGCTTCTCCAAACTGAGTGTGCAGTCTGCCATCTGCTGCAGGTAATGCTCTGACCATGGATAACATGAGCTCCACCTTTTTTAAGTTGCTCTTTATCATTTTTTGTTTATTATTTATATTACAAGGTACAAAGTAAGAATTTCTGTTATGATAGAAAGCATACGGCTCTATATAATACGATGGCCTCCTCAATCCCTGAATATGATACCAACAGTTTTATCAATCATGTGCTCAGTGATACGGAAAAAAACACCTTTAATTTTATAAGTGGGTTGATGGTGCTCGAAAAGACTGGTAGTACAGCGCCATGGTCCCGATGTTTAAGGACGGCCCCGACAGTGAAGGCTGCCCCTCTGCGTTTAATGGCTTATAAAACGTGCTCAGCTCTGACTGAACAGTACGGTGCCAGACTGTTACCGTTTTATGTGTGCGGAGCGATCTGCGTGCCAGCATGTGCACGAATATATCTGAGACGTGTCCCCTGAACTGTTCCCACAAGTCCTGCTTCTCTGTCCATACACAAACGGCCGCTCCGTGAATAACACGCTGCGCCTGCATATCCAATGAGATCAGAAGCGGCGACTGACCTTTCCACTGTTTTTCTCCCCCAGGGGGAAAGGGCCTCTGAAGAATACCGCCGATGTCATCAGCGCTGCCAAGAAAATTGCCGAGGCCGGATCACGAATGGACAAGCTGGGCCGCACCATTGCTGACAACGTAAGTCCTTAATGAACCTCCGTCCCAGAGGGTTCGATGTCGACTACACCTTTTTGTGCCGCCGGCCCCGCTAGATGATTAGAGTTGGGGCACGACAAAGGCTAGTGCAGCAACACATGGGACGAATACGGGAAGATCACTCTTTTGTTTGTGTAGAGGAATCGTAGCACAAACGTTGTGATGCTAAACTACATGAGATGTTGTTAAATGAGGAGCGGCGACTGCATTCATCTACTTCTCAAACCCTGCTCCGCTGTCGTATTGACTTTATTTTCCTTTAGTTACATTTGCGCTCTCCTAAGTCCTGAATGTTCTGACTGTGGTTCGCAAGTTGACACACCGGTTCAGAGTTAAAAGTTTTTCATTACTCAAATGCACCGCAGAAGGAACCGACACCGCTGCATGTAGCTTTCATACTGATTGCATCTTGACGCCCCTTCCCTTTTGTTTCTAAATGGTGTGTGTGTGTGTGTGTGTGTGTGTGTGTGTGTGTGTGTGTGTTTGTGTTTGTTTAAAGAGTAGGAGAACTTTTCTCTCGGCGTATTCTGTCATCTTACTAATTTAAGAGCTGTATACAAAAAACAAGAAAGTTTACAAATCATCACTCGGTACATGCAATTTAATATTTTGCCCAACTGTTATTTTTAATTAACTTTTGTCTCATCTGCACCGTTAGGAGCATCTCCAAGTAAAAGGCTCGCACAGCAGAGCGCTTCAGATGTTAACAACTGATATGATTTGTGTTATTCATGAGACTCCCCTTGCCAGGCTTTGCCAATTTCTTTCAGGATCACCCCCCCCCTCTCTCCCTCTCATTCTTCCATCTCCCAATTCCATCATCCCTCCCTTACCCCAGAGACTATGGTCCTTGACATTGGGGGAAACACGCATTCAATTATCCCTGGCTTCATTTTTCACTTAAATACTTGCACTGTACCACTCCCCCAGGGAGACGCCGTACATGATTTATCCCCCAACTTATTCATTTGCCATCTCTTAGGCGGGGACTTATGGTCTCTCGGTGTCTGCACCTCGTGGACACACTTTGTTGTTAAATCACGGAAGAGTTAAGTTGTGATGTTTGCAACATGACGTGGTTGTCAGATGGAGGTCTTATCCCGTCATTTGGTTGCTCCCATGGTTCAGCTGTAAGCAGCTGTTCCCTCCATTTCTATCCAAACACACGCACGCGGTCGCTCAGAAAAAGGCAAACACTGGCTTTAGATGTTTGCTGTAAGATTTCGATAGCGTTGGAGGCGTTGTCGGTTTCTCTTGTCCTGGTTTTGTTGACATCTCCGCTGATATGTTGGCAAAATGTTTGAACAGCTTTTAGCCTCTTTAAGTAATTCAAGATGAATGTCTCATGGCTGACTGCGACGCATGGATTCTGATGCTATATGCATTTGTCATTGTCGCATGTTTGAATCCATTCAGCACAATGCATATTTACCTCTAAGCAGCCCAGATTTAACTACACAAGGCAGTGGTTAATAATTGATTTAAGCATTATGTAGTTTTAAATCAAAGGTCTTTTTCTACGGCTTCTTTGTGTAATGAGCGGAGATATTCTGGGGCAATTGTGAACTATATTCCACATGTAGTGATACTGGGGGGGAGGGGAATATAAATCCCAGGTTTATACAACATTTATTTTTCCATAAATTGTGCTCCTATTCCAAGAGGACTTAAGACGTCTTAAGTCCCTCCTAGTCTGATATAAGGAGCCCTGCATGTCAGATATTTTATTGAAGGTGACCTCATATCTGTGATGTTACAGGCCCGTGTCTATCACAAAGTGAAAAATCTTATCTGTTCTGACCTAATTGCATCCGCATCATCTGAATGGGGAATAAGCCGTTCTGGAAAGTGACTTTTTTTAATGCCTCACTGCCGCTTTTGAAGATGCTTATTCACTTTAACGAAAAACAGTGTTATCCCCCAAAGAAAACAGATGGGCAACTGTGCAGGTGTGTGTGAGAGCGCGTGTGTGTGTTTATGCCTACACAGGAACACGTCTGTTGACTGGCCCGCCTCTCCACTGGCACATGTGTACGGATGTGTTAGCTTTGTGCGACTGTTTGTCGGTGACTCGTTGCTTTATCTCGTCCTCTGTGCATATATGTTTGCGAGTGTGTACACTATTAGGGGGGTATTGGAGTTTGAAGCACTCAAAGTATGAATAAATGAAGAGCTTTGGCTGTTGGAACAGGAGCCTTTGCCAGGAGTAAGGACCCCCCCCCCCCTCCAGCCTCTGAACCCGTCCAGCTGTCCCCCTCATAGCCTTTCCCTCTGAGCAGAGACCAAAACACCGGCGGATCAGGCGACACTCACCCGTTAACACATCAGCCGGAGGCTCCCGGGGATGGACACGGGGCGGGCAGGAGAACGATGGAGAGATAGTAGGGGGGGGGAACGTCCCTCCTGAGAGACAAATCCATTAAGAGTGCTTCGCCTTTTAATTAGCAGTGTAATTGCCAGGTGGCAGTTTAAGAAAAGAAAAAAATAAGTATTTATTTACACAGGGGGTTTATATTTAGGGCCGTCTCTCTTAACAAAGCAGGAGAGGCCACCGGCGCATACTTGCAGCGAAGGCATGGCGTGTTGGGATGGTCCAAATACTGGAGCAGCAATAGTTGAGTGAATCACCAACCAGGATGTACACAGACACACACACACACACACACACACACACACACACACACACA